TGAGATAAAGTTTTTAATTGATTTAAAATTTGCTATTAGATAAACCTATTGAAATATACCAATAGATAAATCTATTGAAATATGTTGAAACTTATCTTTGCTTATATACAAAGAGAAATCATTGATCTTGTTTTTTCTTTATTTTTTTTGCTTGGCGCTATAGAAAATAATTGTTTGTTATGCATTTTTTTAATTAGTTATTTTAATTACAAAACATATATAAATAAAATTTATGTGTTTTCTCCAAAAAATAAATAAATCATGAATTATTCTCTTCTATAAAACTTTACAATTAAGATTAAGAATTTTAAAAGATTATAGTTTTGAACTTCTTTATATGCTGTTATGTCATAATTTATGCTCGTAGACTTGGTTTTTGAAACTGGCCAATATCGATGTGTCTAAGTTCTTAGATGTGTCATACAAAATTCAAGCAAAACAAACAAGCAAAACAAGAAATATTTGAGTCTATGAAAATGCAAAGCACAAATTTCTCAAAACATGCAGACTAAACCAAAAAACCACACAAAGACGAACATATATGCGAAATGAATGAAAAACTTTTAAGTGAATTAGTTATATATATAACATATGAAATTGTTTAATTTAAGTGAATTAGTACTCTTATATATATATAACATATGAATTTTATTGGACCATTCAAATATTAACACATATAAAACTAAGAGTTCATCGATTAGAAAAGAAAAGTTAAAGTCATTTGAATAGATAATTGTTGTTTTCTTTAAGAAAAATAATAATGCATCATATAACGTATGTTTTACTATAATTTTAATTTATGTATTGAAGTATTAAGTCATTAACAAGGACAATTTAGTAAAATTAGTTTAGAAAAAGTGTAGTTTAAAAATAAAATAAAACAAGGTGTAGTTTTCAAAATTTAAACTCCTTTTAAGGTATTTTTCCAAATTTTCTCTTAAAAATTCTCTATGGAAACATAGATTCTTATATTTGAAAATAGTTTTTTGGATTGATATATATCGAAATATTGAAGTCGTGTTAACATATTAATAATAGCAATCTAGAAAATGAATTTTTTTTGGTTGTGTCATTTCGAAACTAATCGTTTTATGGTTATTTTCAAAGGTTGCGTCTTATCAATATAACCGTTTTTCAAAAATTGTGTTTTTCGATATAATCATTTTTCAAAGACTTTTTTTTATTATATATAACCGCTTTATGGTTATTTCCAAGGATTGCATCTTTTTGATATAACCGTTTTATGGTTGTGTTCTTTCAAAAATAATCGTTTTATGGTTATTTTCAAAGATTGTATCTTCTCGATATAATCGCTTTATGGTTATTTCCAAGGATTGCGTGTTTTCGGAACAACCGTTTTATGGTTATTAGAACATTTTAGGGTTATATTTTCGAAAAACCATTTTATAATACATCCTAGATTTGCGTCATTAATTTTTTTTTTTTATGGTTATTAAAACATTTTAGGATTACGTTAAATAACCGTTTTATGGTTATTAATACATCCAAGAGTTATATCTGATAAAAAAATTGTTTTATAATTATTAAAACATCTAAGGGTTGTGTCTTTTCGAAAAAAATCTGTTTATAGTTATTAATGCATCAAAAATTGCATCTTTTTAGAAGAAAAAAAGAGACCGTTTTATGGTTATTAAAAAATCTAAGATTGTGTGCATCTTTTCGAAAATTTTGTTTTATGGTTATTAATGCATTATAGGGTTGCGTTTTTCTAAAACACCATTTTGTAGTTATTAACATAATAATGCATCGCATATTTTTGAAAAAATCTGTTTTATGGTTATTAATGAATCTCAGAATTGCATCTTTTTGAAAAAACCCGTTTTGTGGTTATTTATGTATCATAAGGTTGTTTTCTCAAAAAAACGTTAAGTTGTTGTTAATGTATCATAGGATTGTGTATATTGTTTTATGTGAAAATGATTCCTAGGTTGCGTCTTTTAAAAAAAAAAATTGTTTAATTTGATGGAACGTTAAATTACTGTCCAAACCCTTAAATGAGAGCTAAATTGTTTTTTTTCTTCATTACATAGTCTTCATAAATCTGATTTGGGTTATCTCAACTTTAGAATCAATAATAACCATGCTTTAAATCCATTAGTGATGATTATGGGTTTATGCATGTACGTATGTCAAAAGTAAATTGTATTTATGGTTGTGTTGGCACCAAAACTTTTTTTAAAAAATATAGTCGAAGGTTCTTTACCCGTGCAACTTGGCAGGGGTTTCGAATCCTAGTTAAGTATAATAACTAGGTTTTGATGATAAGGAGATTGATTATTTCGTATGACATAAAGTTACGAAACTATTGATACATTATGTGCATATCTCTACATTTAATTTCGGGGATAAAAATGGATTTCAATGCAATGAATACATAATCTAGTTCGTTAAAAAGAAAATAAAAATAACAATTTTTTTTTATTAATTACTACTCGATATAAATGATGAACCTACGAACAACACCCAAGAAATTGTTGTTGCTTAGAATATTTCCGTTGGTAGTATTTTATTGAGATAGCCCTAAACATTTTTTACTAATTTAATATTATTATTTTAATAAATTTTAGTTATGTT